CGAGATAACCGAAAATCCAGCCCTATCTAATCCAACTCGAGCTACGCAAGAGTACATAATAAGTATCAGAAGTGTGAGATAAGAACGTAGTCTACTTTGCAAGTACTAAGCATTGGTAGAAGATAAAAAAAATTGTTAGGTGTAATTTTTAATTTAATGGTTTTGCTTACCAAGTGAACTTTTTTTTCAAGAGTGGATTTCATTAAGAATGCAATGGGCCAAGCCCAGAGGAAAAGATACAACAGTGACCTACACATGAGTTGAAGAAACAGAAAAAAAGCCCCAAACAAAAAAGCCCGGAATCCAATAGGGCCCAAAGTCCAAGACCCCATTTTCATAATCTCCAACCCTAGCTATCACTGCCCCATCAGAGAACCGCCGCCGTGGCCGAAAAAACACCGCCGCCGATCAACAGAATCGCGCCGCGTCGCCTCGCCACAGAGGCCGCCACCATTCGCCAAACCAAACGAGCATAATTCCACCCCCGCCATACACCATCTGTCTCCCGTCGGGCGAACCCAGAGGAACCCAAACAACACAATCGGCCTGTCGGCGGAGGAAAAAGATGGGAGAAGATATTCTGTCTTCAAGCTCACCAAATCCGCATCTGTCGCCAAAGGCTGCATCTCCGGACCACCAAGACCTGCAAGGTGAGAACAAGGAGGTAGACTATGGAAAGGGGAGGAGAAAACAAGCTAGATCTAGAGCAGATCTAGCCTCCTTGCATCTTAGAGGGACAATCATCTCCAGATCTGAGAACAACCCAGAACAGAGGACAAAAAAAACTCAACCCAATCAATGGGGAGGGAAGCAACCCAGACGGGGAAAAGGAACAAGCATGACGAAAAGGTCAACGAAAGGCCGGAAAACGCAGAAGAAAGGAAAACGAAACCTGGAGCAAGCGCAATGGATCAAAAGAAAGGAACGAAAAGGAAAAGAAAGAACCAAAAAAAAAAAAACTAAAGGGGGTGCGGAGAGCGGCCGCCGGTCGCCGGAGAGGCGCCGACGGCAACCCCTCTGAAGCCTAGAGAAAGGGTTAGTGAGAAGTTAGATAAAAACTTAAACAAAAAAGTTAGAGAGAGAGGAGGTTTTTACCAAGTGAACTTGAACTTGATCATTCTGGTCGGATTTGGTTCAAACGCCTGAAAGAGCATACAAAGGATGCAATAAAAGTTGGCTCAAATAACTTAATTCAAGGGTAAATTGCAACATTAGTCACTGGAATTACTGAAAACGTTCAGATTTGGTCACTGAAAATATTTAATTCCAATGATGGTCACTAAAATTAATTTAACCATCCACGTTTGGTCACTCTCCGTTAGTCTCCGTTAAATTTATCTGACGTGGCAGTCAACTCTGATAGTTGACCGTTAAATGAGTGACGTGAATATTAAAAAATTATTAAAATAATAAAATATAATCATCTAAATATTCCACCTCATTATCGACATTATTAAAAATTTTAAAAATTAAAAAATCCTAATTTCACCTAATCCCTGATAATGCCTAAAAAATGCCAAACTCTTATTTGTTTTTGTCCACCAGTACCACCACTGCCAATGCCCACCGAAATTCCCTCGCACTAGCAACCGGCGGTTCTCCAAAATCCCAAACTGTACATCTCGCCAAAGGAATTACTTCCCCTTTAATTCCCTCTGGATGCGATGGCGGAGAATGAGGTGCTCGTCAAGAACCCTCTATGGCGGTTTGCGACGTCGCCGACGTCGCCAAGTGCTCCGAGGCGAATGCAAAAAGAGAAGCATCCAGATCCAGACCAAGAGGGTTCGAGAGCTAGAGTTCTCTGGAAAACGGTCGAGGAAGGGGCGGCAGATCCACAACTTTGTTGTTGATAAACCCAGATCCAGATTTTTGTAGTCCGCAAAATAAGATCCACATCGATCCCAGTCCCGCCTCTTTGCCGGTTGACGATGACGTTGCAATGGGCAGTGCGATCACAAGCCGAGTTTGGACCCGAGATCGCACAGTGTTATCAACCTTGGAGTTCGGCTCCGTCGCGCGATGGGAAAACGATGATTAACACACTGGCTTTCCAGAACCCCTTTTTACCTAAAAAAGAAGGAGTGGTTGGTTTCAATTGAACCCACCACCGCCACCGTTCTGCTTGCGTCTCGTGCTCCTAGTCTTCCAACGAAGCTATAAAAAAAAATTGTATTTAAAAATGATTACGAACTATACAAAAATTAACATGAACAAATTATATTATTTTTTTCCCGGTAACTAGCAATTTCTCATTAAGAACGTGTCTTGGCCAAAGCAGCTCAAGAGGTAAAAATAAAATAAAATACAAGCCATAAGCCAAATAGTCACTCTCCAGACAGGGAGGTAATACAAGACATTTACAGAATGCTACTAGGTGTCTATAACTCGAAAAAGACTGGGAAAACGACTAATGTGTGCGTCGAACTCTGTATTCCCACAACTGAACAAAAATACTTCTTCCCTCAAACTAGCAGCCAGGCTCTCCGATGAACGAGGGAAGGCACCAAACATACCCCTGCAACGCTCCTTCCATATAAAGAAAAAAATACACCAGCACCATAACGAAGATTCAATCAAACCCTTAGCATTGCCCTTCTGGGTACCCTCACACATAATTTGTAGCATATCCTCCCACAAGGGAGGAAGTTGAGTGCTACTTTTTCTGGTAAGTTACAATAATAGTTCATGAAATGGACAATGCAAAATACTTTCTCAAAATACATTTTCGTAAAATATTAATATACACTTGTCCAAATGGATAATGTAGGAATATCGACCACAGAATACGTGTTCTACTAGCTCAGATTATGACCTAACCAATTGGTCTTTGTAAACTAGTATACAACCAGTTTTATGAAACACAAAATCAGGTTCAATCTCAAAACTAAATTAATAACTAATGTTTACAAGCAATGCATTTGCATTTCCCCTTCTTTGTCAACAACCTCAGTTATTACAACATATACATAAATACCATAAAAAAAATAATTATATTTTACTAAAACAACAATCTATAATCGTCCAACTAATTATCCTAGGTATGCTCCAGTTATTTCTTCCACTGAAACTCACTTCGAACATTTACTCTTATTCGCAATTCAAACCTGCTTTGAGGACCCTATTCGTCCTGCAACTAAGTAATGGAAATATAGTTAATTTACAAAATATTTAATTGAATTTAATTTCCTCTACTATTGTAAACCCTACATTGATCACTAAAGAAGTAACATAGCGACAGATACAACATCCAACTGAGTAAACCAATTGCAAAACTAATGGTACTTTGACCAACAATTAAATACATCAACACAACTACATAAAACTAAATCATAACACGGGGACGAGATACGGTGACAACCCCTAAGGGGGTTGTCAGATTCACAACCCACTTCATAGCCCTTAGATACGCTCTCTCTCCTGTCTCTTTTTTCTTTTTTTAAATTAACGATTAAGATTAAAGTAAGGATATTTTTGGAAGGGTAAAAATCTACCACACCCAATCATTCACCCTACCATATAAAAAGAACAAAAACCCTAACTCCTCCATCCTCCCTCTCTCCCGTAGACATCACCGTCTCTCCTCCCTCTCTCTCCGCCGCCACATCCCTCCCACCACCGCAGCTCCCTCTTCCTCTCCCATGCCCACCGCCACCCCCTGACCTCCGCCGCGCCGGCTGTCCTCACCGCCTTGCCGCGCCGCTGTCCTCCCCCTCTCTCCGCCCTGCCGCGCCTACCGTCGTGCCACGCTGACCCCGCCACCATTTTTATGCCGCCGCCGCCGTGAGGTCAAGACTCTTCCGTGCCTCCCTCTTTCCTCATCCCTATTTTTTCCAGATCTGATAGTCTCTACTGGTACCAATACCACTGGTAGCGCTATTGGTACCAATACCACTGGTAGCGCTATTTGTACGCTACCACTACTCACTGTTACCAATACCAGTGACTCCCCTATCATCTAGTACCACTATCATCTGTTTTTTTTTGTGTTATTCTCTACTGGTACCGCTACCAATGCTAGTGGTACCGCTACCAATGCTAGTGGTAGCGCTACCAGTGCTAGTAGCGTTGTGTTATTCTCTAACGGTAGCGTTGTACTGGTAGCGTTGTACTGGTAGCGTACCACTAGTACTGGTACATTTTTTACTGGTACCGCTAGTACTGGTACATTTTTTAACGTACTGGTAGCGTACCACTAACACTGGTATATTAATTACCAGTAGACTAATAGATTGGTACACTTTTTAACGCATTGGTACATTTTTTCAGGTTGCCGGAGGGAGTTTGCCGGAGAGAATTCGCCGGAGAAAAAGTTTGTCGGTCGATGCGGAGTGGCCGCTGGAGAAAGGAAGAGAGAGAGAGATAGAGATATTAATGTATAGGATTTAAATTTTAAAAAAAATTGTATTTAATATGGGTTTTTAATTCCTAATATAATTAATACAAAAAGGTAATTAATATATTCCTTTTTTTACACCCAAAATACCCTTGGTTGTGAATCTGACAACCCCCTTAGGAGTTGTCACCATATCCCGTATTAACTTTTTCAAATTAAAATTTTGGAGTTGAGATAATTTAAACAATGATAACTTATTTCATTTTTCTATTTGTATTGAAATCAATTATTGTTAAAAGAATTCAAGAAAATAGTATTTGTTGAAACAGTTTCAAATACGATTATTTCTCATTGCTTTTTTCTCTTTGTATGAGAGCTGAGAGTGATTAGGCCTATTGCATATGAGTCGACTTTGAGTTTGGGTTGCCATACAAATTTATTAAGTCGAGTTTAACCTACAATTTTCTAAAACGAGTCTAATTGAATTTGATTTCTGAAACTCATATCGAAATCATTTCAAATTCAAGTTCATATTAAATTTATCAAGCCAAACTTAAACTAAATCAAATTGATCTGGCTCATTAGCAATCCTACAAAGTAATATAACCTGACATAGGTGCATATATGTTTGGGCTCCGATCCATGGGCCAGAGGAAGAAGCCTGTAAGACCGGCAAAACAGGGGTGCTCTGTTTCTTGTATATTCTCTCTCTTTCGCTCTCTCAGTCTTTTACTCATTAGTCTTTCTGTCTCCCAGACATTTACCCATTACGAAAAGATTCCATATAGAGTCCGACCTCCACTAACCAGCTCAAAAAATCGGCGGACAGCAAAATTCCGACTCGGAAATGGCGCCACCACAGTCCTTTTCACTCCCACTGCTCCTCTTTGCCAGAATATCAGCTCTCACAGTTGCAGCTCTACTCCTCTACTGGGCTCTGGTTTTTAACTCTCACCACTCCTCTCAACATTCCCGCATTTATGCGGTAAGCACTACAAACTAACTGATCAAATTCGCTCCCTTCCCGCTTCCTATGTCTCTTCTTTCTTCACCAATCGGTTCTTAACTAAACCCAGAATCGAAAATTTTGTCTTGGTTTCTTTCTGTGTTTGCAGGCACGGCGGCATATGCTCCTGATGGTGATCGGTCTCATTCTTGTTAGTGGGGAAGGTTGGTACTGATGAATTTCATCACAGCGCCTTAGATAATAGCCATGCCCTGATTGTGGGATTTACTAAGCTTAATTAGTTAATTGCTAGCTGTGTTTCAGCAATTTTGGTACACAGATGGCTGCCCTGTTCCAGGAACGGAAAGAAATTGGCGCATTTGGGTCTCCAAGGAGTGGCTTTGAGCTGTGGGGTATTTGGGGTTTGGACAAAGTTCCATGCCCGAAAGGGTATCGCGGGCAACTTCTTGAGCCTGCATTATTGGATGGGAATGATTTGCGTTTCCTTGTTTGCTGCTCAGGTATTAATTCCTTCACCCCACTCTCTCTATCTATGCAACTGCAGTCTGCTAGTACTGTCTGTGCTAGATTCTAGAAGTGAGGGCCTTTGTGGTCATAACGATTATTATAATCTTGGGGAACATTCAGGTTATATTAGAAGAGTCAAACCTTACGAGGTAAGTTACTAAGTTAAGAGGTTATGTTGATGCCTAGTGACTTTGCTGCTACTGTAACTTCTTTTATAATTGCCATGGCGTCTAAATGCTGCACTACGGATTTAATGTGGTGGTTGGTATCTGATTTTCAACCAAGTTGAATGTAGTCTAATCTATCTCAGCCGTTAATTGTATGTGATAGTTTTAGTATTTGACTATTTTCGTAAACAACAGTACAACACCACCCTGTATATTCAATGACCAAAATCATCAGTGTTGAGGCCATTTCCTCAGCGCGTTAGCGAATTCCTCCTAGGCACACTACTATGGTGAATTTTTTTCACCTTAATCAAGTTCTACGTAACGTTGATACTCCAGAAGGCGAACTCATCAATGTTCTGATCGTATCTCTCTCAATGCATACGTGCAGCAGTGGTTGCCGGGGTTCGTGAGCTTTTGTTACCAATGCGAGATGTGAACTGTGCGGGCGAGCAGATTACCATGTCACATCTTCCTTGGTCTCTACATTTACGCCCTTGCAGTTGCAACGGCGGAGACAGGGTTGCTGGAGAAGCTCACTTTCTTGGAAATGAGAAGGCACAGTCACAGTACTGCCTCCAAACGCTCTCCAGAAACAGTGGTTGCTAATGGATTAGGGCTGGGGTTGGCTTTGCTCGGTGGAGTTGTTATATTGGCAGCAATTTCTCCAAAGCACCAAACTACCCTGCAACTTAGAAGTTTGTACTCTGTGTCAAACTCCAAGTGCTAATTCGTCTTCTTTGGAAACCAAGTTGAGTTTACAGTTTGTAGTGTAACTTTCTATTTGTTTCCTGTTGTATTAGAATCCCATGTCTGTGGATAGTCACAACTACCAATTGCTCTGATCATTCAATTAGGCATTTGGTAATCATAATTAAGTAATGAGCACGAGCAATTAAGCTATCAGTAACAAAACAAAAACAAAAGTACAAGATTTTTACTATTGTATCTCATATGAATTTGCTATTACACCACTATAATATCTGGTTATCCCACATAATGAATTCATTTGGTGACCAACTGTCATCGAGATCAGGATAAGGCTTGGATACTGAAATGCTACCATCTCCACAGTCAAACCGATAAAGGTATTTCTCTTTCGGTTGGAAGAAGTAAACGGAATTTCTCTTCAAGCCTGATTTGCTAGCATGACATGGATAACAACCCCAAGTATTGCTCCATAGAAATGCTAGATCACCCAAATCGTCGATCCTTATCCATCGCATCATCTCCATGTCCATCTTATACACTTGCATATCAATAACAACACGTAGCCTTGGGGTCTCGTAACCAAGAGCGTCATACCGGACAAAAAGTAAGATTTCACCCCTACATTCCACCAACGATATCACCATCGTACCTGCTCCTTTTGGAAAGTCTGGATAATCAAGTTCTGGTAGAACTCTTGTTATGTACGTTTCTGGTTGTAGTTCGACTGAAACGAGTTCTGATTTCATTACTAGATATCCATAAATCTTACCTAGGTTGAGAACAGCTACTGCGTTGAACTCAACTCCTTGCTCACTTGGTGTTGTAAGAATTGTCCATTCACTATCACCATCTCGCCAAAGCATTGCAAGAGCATCATTCTTTGCCTCTAAGTTTGATTCAGTGCCTTCTATTTCCCGATCACTCTTAGCTACACCAAAAACCATTACGACAAATTTGGATTCACCAGGAGGTAAATGAAGCACAACAAATAAGCAATCGAAACGTCTTTCCCAAGTTGGCGATGTCGTTTCAACCATGGATACCGGATCCAATAAAGAACATGAACGAGCCTCGTGATCCATCAAAACAAGAAGACCATGAGCACTGCTATACACTTTCTTTCCTCTCATTCTTGCTTCCAATCCTATGATTCTTGAATGGCTCACTGCTGAAACCTTGGCTAAGTTAACCAACATTCTTTCACCCTCGTGGTTGGACAAAACGAGGAAGGCTTGTGTTGTTGGTGATTCTTGCTTCCTCCCTTTCTCATAATCTTCTAATTCTGCGCACGCCGATGGGTCACCTGACGATCTGAAAGTTAAGCTCCTTATGACATAATGTGGATGAATGTGATGAAGCCCCACATCTGCATCTTTTTTGCTTGTTAGCTGCTTCTTGGGTTTTGATGACCAATGTAGTTGTTGGAGAGAAAAAAACTGGAAACTTGGGATCATCCAAGTGCGGTTCAGTAGGAGCTTCGTGTCACAGAAGTCAATGGACGGATATCCTGGTTCGAAGGAGTGAAACTGCTCAGTCGAAAGTGAATAAAACACATGGCGCCTTTCATGAAATCTCGGAAAGTGAACAGTGTTCTCCAATCCTGTGCCTTGCGCCTCATTACTCATTAGGGCCACACATCCCGTGGGACTGCAAAAGACCATTTGATCTTTAAGATCGTCGACGACTTGCCATGAATACGTGAGGTTGAAGAATTTGTAAACTCTTACGAATTCTCCGATTGGTCCTACCACTATCGAGATCAATTCTCCATTGCACTCCAGTAAATAAGCCATATTGCGTGGGTTATCCATGAAAGCAGCTGGTCTTTTGGTTGCATCAAGTAGCCTCCACCTCATGCTTTCCTTCTTCGCATTGGGATTGAAAACTCCTAGCCTCCCATCTTGGCCCAAACAATAAAACCTTCCCTTGTGAAAAACAGGGGAAGAACTAGAATTAGACCACAAGAAATTCCCGATACTGGGAAATCTTTCCAAATTCACTCGGTATGTATTGGATTTAACCCTAACCATCTTGATGTTGCTAGTATTTAATTTCAGAGGACTAGCGTTCGTCCAGCTCATCATGTTTGGGACACCATTAATATAGTGTTTCCAAGACTGCTGTCCTCGACGAATGAAAGAAATGTATACTCTTTTGTTGTAGTACGAATCTGCAAGGCCAAAAACTATGCAATCTGGAGATGTAGGCGAAGCCGAAAAACTCATTCGATCAAAGGAATCATTAACCTCTGATGTAATATCTGGCAAGTGGATAGTGTTCTCAGTCGACGGATGATAGAAGAATATGCGCCTCGACGTGGACAAGAGCAACCAACCATAGTTGGAACAGTGGATTTTGGCACCAACGAGTTCTGACGAAGCACGAACATAGAACGACTTGTCGTACGCCGGAGAATAGGCTTCGCAGCAACAACAGGATGAGTCGTTGCCTATCCTAGGAAGGCCCAACAAAAATGCAGATTTAACCTTCTCATAAATGACATGGTCGAAGAAAGCCCTGAAGTTCCAATTGCGACAGGTAGCTCTGAAATTAGAGTAATCTTCCCATAATAATTTCCGGCGAATCAAATTCAATATCCCGTCGGGAAGATCAGCCCACGATCTTGCATCGCTCATCTTTGCTCTCCCCTCTATTAGACGGAAAGAGAGTAGCGGGTGGTTGTTTATCTCGGAAGAGGCTTATTGGGGCTGATATATATAGAAAAGAATTGGATTACTTCTCCTCCCCGGATAGGGAATCTGTTGTTTTGTTCTCCTTGTCTGACTTGGAAAGAGGATTCCGAGTCCGACCCTGCAACTCCCTTCTTCTGCCACATCCGTCATCGATGTGCGCTCTCTCTGGCCTTTCTTGCCGGAGTTAGGGCTTTCGCCGCTCAAATCCTCATCGGGGATAGCAGCTGCCATACCACGCCATCAGTACCGAAACCTCTTCCAGACACGCCACCAACCATGAGTCTTACTGAAATTGCTCTGCTCGGCTTGATTGCCCTCCTCCCAATTGGAACTGGATTGCTAGGTTTGATGGTCCTCTCTCCCCCCCAGTTCTGTGCCGTATTCCATTTTCTCCTCTCTCCACGTTCCTTTACTTCTACCCTCGCTCGCTCCTTTGGTTTCAGAGAGTGGTTCTCTTCTCAGTCTGGCCCATTCCAGTTTTAGCTCCCGCTTATATTGGACCCGATTTGAACAGTTTTCCTCTCCAGCCAGCGCATATTGGTCGGGGAGTTTCTTTGTCCCTCGGTGGCGGCGGTGATGGGTTTGCGAAGGCGTCGGTCAGAACCGCATCCAACGGAAATCAGGGCAGAGTCCCGCAGCATCCAGGTGAAAGGTATAGCAATTGTGGAATCGTTCTGATTAGCTCTTTACATATGTGGGTTGTTTTAGAAGTATTACTTCAAAGATTCTTGAGTTTCGAGGTGGTCTCCGAATTTTTACTGGGATTTTATATTTTTAGGGAGCAAGAAACTAGGAATTGAGTTGCTCACCGGACTTGGGTTTTTCCTTGCCTCGGCTTAATTTAGTTCAAATAGATGATGCTTGGTGGTGGGTTATTTTGACATATTCTGGATTTTTCAAATTGAATAAGCCTGAAGAAAGATTGCTACTTGAAGCAGCTGGGTTGAGGCGGAAAGAAGCAGCTCTCACTTTCTTGGAATTTCAGCAGTAGCAACTCTGACTTGGTTATTTTCATGGTTGTGTTTCTGAGTTCTGACAGGAAATATGAGGGACAAAGAGTCATTCAACCTCATCAAAGGTTGGTGAAGGAGGATTGGTGATGGTTTTATGAATTTTAGGAAGTTGAAGCAAAATGATGTTCTGCTGTTTGCTGCAGAGATACATGAAGCTGAAAGTGAAGAAGCCTCCAAGGAGGGTGTTCACATCTTTTATCTTGATCATCATAATAATTCCATATAAGTATGTGAATTGCTCTTTCGGTTCTTGGAGTTTGTTGTGATGTCTTGTTATAGCTCTGAAGGAATTGAATTTCGAGGTTGTCTCGGTTTAATTTACAGGGGGGGGGGGGGGGGCACCTTTTAAAGATCACCACTGACCATCGCTCTAAAATGGCTTCAAAGCATGAGAAGCCCTGCAGTTCTTGAACAAGCTGGATCACCGGATTATCCTAGACTGCAAATTTATGTGAGCTTATGTATCATCTCCAGTTTTCTTGCTTTTCAGAACATAGCATAGTTGGTGTTGGGGTTTTTCCTATATGAACATCAACTGTCAAATACTAATATGAAAAGATTTCCCATTGTCATGAACAAAGGACTATGAATTCTGTAATCAAATTTTACATGTTTTGGCACCATTTTTCACAATTTCAAGCAAACTGAAACATTATTTAATCAAGTTCTCTATTTGAATTTATGTATGATTCAGGTCAGAAGACTGATTGGTAGAACCTCTTATGCAATCCAAAAGAGCTCCTATGTACTGGTCAGATAGTTTTCTTTCATTTTATCAATCTTGCATGAGTTTCTGGCATTACCAATAGTGCCGCTTTCATGTAATGCTGAGTTCTTTTATCGCCATAGGTGTCTCAGCAGTGCTTTGACGTCTTTCTTTCTTTGGATCCTATTTTACATGAATTACCACCAACATTGTTATGCTAAGTCTTGAAAAAACAAATTTGGTAATTTACATTTGCGTTTGTGATGTATCGATTTGGTTATTTCTAGGCTGTTTCACCTATAATAAAAACACTTCCAAGATCTTATTAGTGAGCTTTTAACTTTCCATGCTTTGTTAGAGCTGATTTGACGGTAGATTTGTAGTTTGCTTATGGCAGTATCGTCTGATGAATTTATTTTCTGCTATCTAAATTAGGCCTCTGCTTCTTCTCTGGATCTTAGAGTTCTCTAGGTGGGTTCGCGAAAGGTTCAGCCATGAGATGTGTGTGCAAGTGCGATTGTTTTTTTAGTGTTGATGATCCCACATTCGTATTCGTGTTCGATTTTCACGCTCGCTTCTTCAGGTAATTCTTGCTTCCACCCTGACCTCTTATCCTTATGCCTCCCTCCGCAGCATGAATTATGTCCTCCTCTCAAGCTAACCTGTACCAAGAAAACTTTCGGCTGTGACATTGCGGCTCTTTCTTACATGGATGGCTGAAAATCACATCAACCCTTTTGTACTGGGTTAGGAACAAAGGAATGAGAGGAAAGAACACCTCTCGAACTGAAATCTTGCTTTTCCCTTATCTTGAAGGTACCATATAATCTGGATTGCCCGTGGAATGAATCATGCTGCTGCTGGTCGTGAATTCAATCCGAGTCTTCTATAACCGAAGTCTCCTCTGCATAGGCTGCTGGGACTGAAGGGATTGCTTCCTTTTGGCCAACTGGATGGTTCTTCTCCCCTTTTGCCTGAGACCAATCCAGCTTTCCAGCCGCCAAACTCGCAAAATCTGCTTCCCCTTCCTGAGCTACAGTCAACATTCATGGAGCCAAACAATTCGATGGCCAATCGACGTCTCTCTGAGGAAACCACCAAAAACAGAATCTCAAAAAATGAGAACCCACATTGTCATATCCCACAAAGATCCGAACTTGGAATATAATTTATCTAAAATCTACGACTGAAAAAGACGGGAGAAAACAACGCAGAGAAAATCCACTCACCGCCGACGACGACGGTGGAAGCAGAAGAAGAACTGCTTCTCAGGCCCCCTGATGCTTCCGCCTCCAGCAATGAGGACTACAGATGCTGATGACGCGAAGGAGTTGCGGTTGGACTCGGAATCCTCTTTGCAAGAAGAATGGGGACAACAAATACGCTTTCCTTCCGTTTCCGGGGAGGAGAAGTAATAAATTCATCTCTTTAAATATCAGCGCCTCCATCAACAATAAGCAGCCGGCGAGTAAACAACCACCCATTACTCTCGTTCCGAGTGGAGAGCAAAGATAAGCGAAGCAAGATCGTGGGCTGATCTTCCTGACGGGGTATTGAATTTGATTCGCCGGAAATTGTTATGGGAAGATTACTCTAATTTCAGAGCTACCTGTCGCAATTGGAACTTCAGAGCTTTCTTCGACCACGCCATTTATGAGAATGTTAAATCTCCATTTTTGTTGGGCCTCCCTAGGAGTGGCCACGACTCATCCTCTTGTTGCTGCCAAGCCTATTCTCCGGCTTACGACAAGTCGTTCTACGTTCGTGCTTCATCGGAACTCGTTGGCCCCAAAATCCACTGTTCCAACTATGGTTGGTTGCTCTTGTCGACGTTCAGGCGCATATTCTTCCATCATCCGTCTACGGGGAACACTATCCACCTCCCAGATATTACATCAGTGGTTAATGATTCCTTCAATCGAATGGGTTTTTCGGCTTCGCCTACGTCTCCAGATTGCATAGTTTTTGGCCTGGCAGATTCGTACTACAACAAAAGAGTGTACATTTCTTTGATTCGTCGAGGACAGCATTCCTGGAAACACTATATTAATGGCGTCCCAAACATGATGAGATGGACGAACCGTAGTCCTCTGAAATTAAATCCTAGCAATATCAAGATGGTTAGGGTTAAATCCAATCCATACCGAGTGAACTTGAGAAGATTTCCCAGTATCGGAAATTTCTTGTCTAGTTCTTCCCCTGTTTTTCACAAGGGAAAGTTTTATTGTTTGGGCCAAGATGGGAGGCTAGGAGTTTTCAATCCCAATGCGAAGAAGGAAAGCATGAAGTGGAGGCTACTTGATGCAACCAAACCAGCTGCTTTCATGGATAACCCACGCAATATGGCTTATTTACTGGAGTGCAATGGAGAATTGATCTCGATAGTGGTAGGACCAATCGGAGAATTCGTAAGAATCTACAAATTCTTCAAGCTCACGGATTCATGGCGAGTCGTGGACGATCTCAAGGATCGAACGGTCTTTTGCAGTCCCACGGGATGTGTGGTCCTAATGAGTAATGAGGCGCGAGGCACCGGATTGGAGAACACTGTTCACTTCCCGAGATTTCATGAAAGGCGCCATGTGTTCTACTCACTTTCGACTGAACAGTTTCACTCCTTCGAACCAGGATATCCGTCCATTGACTTGCGTGACACGAAGCTCCTACTGAACCGCACTTGGATGATCCCAAGTTTCCAGTTTTTCTCTCGCCAGCAGCTACATTGGTCATCAAAACCCAAGAAGCAGCTAACAAGCCAAAAAGATGCAGATGTGGGGCTTCATCACATTCATCCACATTATGTCATAAGGAGCTTAACTTTCACATCGTCGGGTGACCCATCGGCGGCGTGCACAGAATTAGAATATTATGAGAAGGGGAGGAAGCAAGAATCACCAACAACACAAGCCTTCCTCGTCTTGTGCAACCACGAGGGTGAACGAATGTTGGTTAGCTTGGCCAAGGGGCCAGCAGTGAGCCATTCAAGAATCACAGAATTGGAAGCAAGAATGAGGGGAAAGAAAGTATACAGCAGTGCTCATGGGCTTCTCATTTTGATGGACGACGAGGCTCGTTCGTGTTCTTTATTGGATCCGGTATCCATGGTTGAAACGACGTTGCCAACTTGGGAAAGGCGTTTCGAGTGCTTAGATGTTGTGCTTCATTTACCCCATGGCGAATCCAAATTTGTGGTATTGGTTTTTGGTGTAGCTGAGGGTGTCGCTGAATCGAACTTAGAGGCGGAGAAGGATGATGCTCTTGCAATGCTTTGGCGAGATGGTGATAGTGAATGGACAATTCATACAGCACCAAGTGAGCAAGGAGCTGCTGAGTTCAACGCAATAGCTGTTCTCAACCTAGGTAAGATTTTTGGATATCCAGTAATGAAACAAGAATTCGTTTCAGTCGAACTACAACCAGAAACGTACATAACAAGAATTCTACCGGAAGTTGATTTTCCAGACATTCCAAAAGGATCAGGTAGTATGGTGATGTCGTTGGTGGAATGTAGGGGTGAAATCTTACTATTTGCCCGGTATGACGCTCTTGGTCACGAGACCCCAAGGCTATGTGTTGTTATCGATATGAAAGTGTACAAGATGGATATGGAGATGATGCGATGGGTAAGGATCGACGATTTGGGTGATCGAGCATTTCTCTGGAGCAATACTTGGGGTTGTTATCCATGTTCTGCTAGCAAATCAGGCTTGGAGAGAAATTCCATTTACTTCTTGCAACTGGACGAGAAATACCTTTATCGGTTTGACTATGGAGATGGTAGCATTTCAGTTTCCAAGCCTTATCCTGATCTCGATGACAGTTGGTCACCAAAAGCATTCATTATGTGGGATAACCAGATAGTATAGAGATGTAATAGCAAAATCTTATGCGATACAATAGTCAAAATCTTGTACTTTTGTTTTGTTACTGATAGATAGCTTAATTGCTCGTACTCGTTACTTAATTATGATTACAAAAGGCCTAATTGAATGATCAGTGCAATTGCTTACTTCTGACTATCCACAGACATGGGATTCAAATACAACAGAAATCAAATAGAAAGTTACACTACAAACTGTACACTCAACTTGGTTTCCAAAGAAGCTGAATTAAATTAGCACTTGGAGTTTGACACAGAGTACACACTTTTACGTTGAAGGGTAGCTTGGTGCTTTGGAGAAATTGCTGCCAATATTACAACTCCACCAAGCAAAGCCAACCCCATCCCCAATCCATTAGCAACCACTGTTTCCGGAGAGCGTTTGGAGGCAGAACTGTCACTGTGCTTTCTCATTTCCGTGAAAGTGAGCTTCTCCATCAACCCTGTCTCCGCGGTTGCAACTGCAAGGGCGTAAGTGTAGAGACCAAGGAAGATGTGCCATGGCAATCTGCTTGCCCGCACCGTTCGCATCTCGCCTCGGTACCAAAAGCTCAGGAACCCATTCAACCACTGCATGTATGCATCAAGCGAGATATAATCAGAACATTGATGAGCTCTCCTTCGGGAGTAAGAAAGTAGAACTTGATTAAGCTGAACAAATTCACATGCTAGCATGCTGAATGAATGGCTTCAACACTTAGGAAAATACTAAAGCTACCACATACATTTAACGCTTGAGATCGATTAGACGAAACTCAACTTTGGTATATGCCAATTTCTTTCCGTTCCTGGAACAGGGCAGCCATCTGTGTACCAAAATTGCTGAAACACAGCCAGCAATTAACTAATTAAGCTTAGCAAATCACACAATCAGGCCACGGATATTATCTAAGGCGCTGTGATGAAATTAAGTAACAACCTTCCCCACTAACAAGGATGAAACCGATCACCATCAGGAGCATATGCCGAGCCTGCAAAACACAGAAGGAAACCGTGACAAAATTTGCGATTCTGGGTTTAGTTAAGAATCGATGGGAGAAGAAAGAGCAAAGACATTGGAAGCCGAAAGGGAGGGGATTTGATCAGTTAGATTGTAGTGTCTACAGCATAAAGGCGGGAATGTTGAGAGGAGGAGTGGTGAGAGTTGAAAGCCAGAGCCCAGTAGAGGAGTAGAGCTGCAACTGTGAGAGCTGATGTTCTGGCAAAGAGGAGCAGTGGGAGTGAAAAGGACTGTGGTGGCGCCATTTCGAGTCGGATTCTTGCTGTCTGCCGACACTTTGAGCTGGTTAGTGGAGCTCGGATTCTAAATGGAATCTTTTCGTAAAAGACAGAGAGAGAATATAGAGGAAACATAGTAGTACCCCTGTTTTGCCGGTCTTACAGTCGATTTGACTTAGTTTAAGTTTAGCTTGAAAATTTTAACGTGAACTTATGAGTTTCAGAAATCAAATTCAATTTGATGCATTTTAGAAAATTGTAGGTTAAACTCGATTTAATAAAATTGTATGGCAACCCAAACTCAAAATTCATTTATATTTGTTAAGCCTAGTCACTTTCGGCTCTCATACAAAAAGAAAAAGGTAATAAGTTATAATCATCTTTTTAATTTGTTTCAACAATAACTATTTTCTTAAGTTGTTTTAACAATAATTGATTTTAGTACAAAGAGGAAAAGGCAGTATGCTATAATCATTTTAATTATCTGAAATTCAAATTTTTTATTAAAATTCGTATTTTTTTATAAGGGTGATAAAAAAAATCAGTAAGTTATAGTATGTGAAGAAATATAACCTTAAAAGTATGTCAGTAGGAGGAGAATGTGTTTACTGCTTCGAAGTGTATTTGAATTATTGGTTGTACTTTGATAAAATTATGATAAACTATGAAAGTTATTAATGAATAAAGGTTGAGACGAACTTTAATCGTTTCATTTTTTAGGAAGAAAATATTCGTTTCTTTGAAACTTACTAGTGAATAAACGTTGCATAAAGAGATAAAAATGAATCCAACAAACTAGCTACTCTTCTATGAACAACATTTTCAGCAGGGATAAAACAACGTATATAAATACAAATACTTTGTTGAGTTTTGACCATCAAGAGCGCATCTAGTGTAGTGGTATCATAGTACCCTCCCACGGTACTGACCGGGGTTCGATTCCCCGGATGCGCAATTTTGCGCGTACTCTATTTTGTCGAAGGAAAGCTGAATCAAAGGTTGGAAAGTAAAAATATATGAAGTTATTTTTTATCTGAAGTAAAGTACAATCAAAGGTAGAAAAGCAAACATATATAAAATTTCATTTTGCATAGTCCTTTTTGCTAAAGGAAAGCATAATATATCAAATGTATAAAAGCAAACATATATGGAAGTAAAAATTTATGATTTTTTTTTCTGAAGTAAAGTACAATCAAAGGTAGAAAAGCAAACATATATAAAATTTCATTTTGCATAGTCCATTTTGCTAAAGGAAAGCATAATATATCAAATGTATAAAAGCAAACATATATGGAACTGCGGGACTCCTTTATTTTTCTTCATATACATTAGGCCTCATCACTTTCGGCTCTCATACAAAGAGAAAAAGGTAATAAGTTATAATCGACTTTTGAATTTGTTTCAACAATAAGTCAATAACTATTTTCTTAAGTTCTTTTAACAATAATTGATTTCAGTACAAAGAGGAAAAGGCAGTATGCTATAATCGTTTAAATTATTTGAACTAAAAAAAAATTTATGAAAAAAAATCAGCATTTTTTTATATAAGGGTGATAAAAAACATCAGTAAGTTATAGTATGTGAATAAATATAACTTTAAAAGTATGTCAGTAGGAGGAGCATGTGTTTACTGCTTTGAATTGTATTTGAATTATTGGTTGTACTTTGATAAAACTATGATAAACCATGACAGCTATTAATGAATAAAGGTTGAGACGTACTTTAATCGTTTCATTTTTTAGGAAGAAAATATTCGTTTATTTGAAAGTTACTAGTGAAATAAACGTTGCATAAAGAGATAAAAATGAATCCAACAAACTAGCTACTCTTCTATGAACTACATTTCGTATATAAATACAAATACTTTGTTGAGTTTTGACCATCAGGAGCGCATTTAGTGTAGTGGTATCATAGTACCCTCCCACGGTACTGACCAGGGTTCGATTCCCCGGATGCACAATTTTGCCTACTCTATTATGTCGAAAGAAAGCTGAATCGAAGTGAGAAAGCAAAAATATATGAAACTTCATGTTTTTTTTTCTTTTTTTTTTGCTGAAGTAAAGTACAATTAAAGGTAGAAAAGCAAACACATATAAAACTTCATTTTGTGTACTGTTTTTTCCTAAAGGAAAGCACAATCAAAGGTACATAACCAAACATATATGGAACTTCCGGACTCCTTTATTTTTCTTTCTAATTCCTCCCTTCCCGATGAAAGTGTGATCATATCCTTTGCTAAATGAAAGGGGGAAAATCAAAGGTAGAAAAACAAAACATATATGAAACTTCGGGACTCCTTTATTTTTCTTCTAATCCCTCCATTCACAATGGAAGCATTACCCATATCCCTGAGATGATCATATTCTCACTTGCAAGTGGCGACAAGCACCTTCCTTGGAGGCAGAGAAGGCCTCCTGCCATGGAGCAAAGCCCAGTTATCAAAGAATGCAACATCTCCCTTCTGCCATTTGAACTGGATGCTCTCTTCCTCTATGATCTCCTCACACCTCTTCACGAACTTCAATGGCAACTCCGTCCCATCCGCCATTGTTGCCGAGCTCTGCTCCTTGCCATGCATCCCCACCACAGTGTTGAACCACATCCTCCTCCCGTTCCTCCCTTCGAACACCCTCGTCAGTGCCCTTGGCCTCAGTATCGTCTTCGCACCTCCATCTGCAAGCCACTCGATTTCCATCCCTAGAGCATAGGCCCTATATACATAAAAAAAAATACGTTTTAGTAATCAATCAGCTGAGAACTCGGTTGAAAACATCATTATGAATCAAAAACAACATTATCGTACCTGCGCTCGGCTTCCTGCTTGTCGGATGTAGCAAAAGCATCCTCCCAACCTCGGCCTCTCATGGAAGCAGTGGTGTTTCGAGTAGGTGCAGAGAAAGAGTACATCAGACCTCTCTTCTCTATCTCCTCGACTTCTTCCGGGAACTCCTTCAACATCTTTTCCGTCACCTTGAAGCTTGGCACGAACGGCGTCTCGCCTCCTTCCGGCGGAGGAATCTCGCAGAACAGTATCACTTTCTTCGGAAACTCCTTTATCTATTTTCGTCACATCATAATTCACAGTCTCAAATTAAAATAAAATAATGCAAATGGTCACATTATCGAATTCAAATTGATTGCGAGACCATAATTAGTTTTACAGACCGTTTGGTACCAAATGAATCTAGAATTCATTTCGTTTTAAAATGAATTCCTGTGTGGAATTCATTGTCAAATGAATTCAGGTGTTTGGTATATGCTATTAGCGTTACAATCAAATTCTTGTCAACGTTCCTCATACTGCATGAATTGGCGCCAAATAATATATGTAGAAGTAATTTTTGTTAATAAACAAGAATAATTATGTTGTTTTATCATAATTGGTAAATACTTGTGGAATTCATTTGAAAATTCCATCTCAATTCCTCTAGAATTGCTATAACTAGTTTCAATTCCGTAAAATTCAGAATTTAGAATTGAAAATGAATTTTTTTAAATACCAAACACAAAGAATTTCATTTCAAAGTGATTTACCAGGACCATCTCGTGGTGGTAGTAGATGAACTCGGACAAGGGGCCCTCGTTGGCGGTCCAGATCCGCTTGTGGATATGGGTCCGGGGAGCCGGCCCAACGTAGCGGATGTCCTCCCAGTCACACGCTTCTACGACGTCGTTGAAGTTGACCGCGTTATCCACGTCGAATCCCCGCAGCAAAACGGCGCTGTTTTTGGTGATCATCTGGTCGAACCACTCCTTGTTGTTCTCCAGGGCCTCCACCAGCGACTCGACGCCCTTCTTCTCCGGGTCCGCCGGCTCCAGCACCAACGGCATCACTTCGCCGTCGACGACCTTCTGCCCGTCGCAGCTCCCGATCTTGAAGAACTTGCTGCAGAACGCCGCCATTTCTCAACCCCTTTTGGTTTTTTTCTTTCTTGTTTAAGTATGTTGCAGTAGATAGAATTACGGTTGATTTGAGAGGTACTTATAGTTATAGGAACCTTAAATGTTGTTCTTATCGGACGGTTTTTTGGACATTTGTGCTAACTTTTCGCTACAAGATGCATAGCAATAGTGCCATGGGACAGAGGGATTCCTTTTTCCTTTCACTGCGTTACGAGACAAAAATGGCCGCGCAAAAGTAGTCTTGGCCAGTAAAAAAAGGCTAGCAGGGCGGGGTGGCAGAAGTGTACCAAAGCGGAATATGCAAGAAAACCCCTACGTCAACAATGGAGCACACAAGGAACTAAGGAAGTACTTGTAGAAACGACCGAAAAGAAGAGCACTACGCTTTAAAATACAATTTGAAGGTTTACTGTAATGTTAAAAGTAATTTGATAAGTACAAATACGGTAATGTTAAAAGTACAAATTAAAGTTGTATTATAAGAGAAAGAAATTTGATAAGTACAAATTGAAGTTGTACCATAACATAAAAGTACAACTTTAGTTTGTATTAAAAAGAGATTTTACAAAAGAGTTTAGGTGCAACGTGAAGTTGTACCATAAAGTCAAAAACTAAAGCACCAATATTTTAAATTATTATAAAATTCCTCCCGAAAAGAATCAGTACTGAGAACGAATGAGAACAGAGAGTAAGAGTCATTTTATGAATATTCGTGTCACATGCATCGATCCGTCCGTCGTGAGTGCAATATTCTATAAAAATGTATGTGGGTAATACAATCTAATTAGATCCGAGGGTTATCAAAAGGGTTTTCAAAATTGTAGGATTAATAGCATATATTTCGATTTTGAAAATGTATGTGTTCTCAATATGTGAAATGAGCGTACTCTTATATCATAAATAAACGTAAAAAATTATGGATTCTGAATCTTGAATCTTCTCAAGGGTTTCGTAGTAGTAATGTGCTTGCTAGCTAAGCTAGGTAGATGTCAGTTATAGCGACGATACAATTCATGGGTTGTGATTAAGGGCGGTGAAATTTGATTCCACCTTGTATCAGTGAAAATAATACTTAAATATCCACTAATCAGAAACATTCTTGAGCTTCAAAATTATACTTATTTATCTCACGGGTGTTTTTTTATTTACCTTATTGTGAATCTTTTGCCGGCGGCCAAGAAGATGTCGGGAGTCCTTTGAGGTGAAGCAGACGTCTAGGTTTGCTTCTTTCCATAGGACACAACTTCGAACAAATTCAATTGGACTTCAGTTTAGTGGCAAATTTAGAGTTGTGCATTTTATCTCCTTCAAACAATAGCGATTCCTAGCCGAACACAAGAAAGAGAAGCATTTCTCGTTGGATTTTGGCAAAGAGAGAACATTTCTAGCTCTTTGGATTATTTGGGTTTGCCGCTATACCAATACACGCATTTATATAATCAGCAAATTAGTCATATGGTGGACTTCTTCCGAAATAAAAGTTGCTAATTCCCCCCCCCCCCCCACCCCACCCAATAAGCTCAAATGACATAATACAAAGACTCAACTATAAGATCGATAGTTTGTATGCAATCGAACTGCTTATGAAAGGGTTTTTTTTTTGCCCTCGACAATAAGTATGTTGCCACAACCAAAATAGTTGAGTATTAGACACCACTTCATTGATTTATAGTCCTACAAAGTCAATTGCACTTCTTTAATTTCATATCACAATCGAGACATACCAATCAAATAGGCATACGGTGCTAGAGCCTAGAAATCTCCATCCCAAGAGACTAGATTACTATATGTTAAACAAATACAAATTATGTAAATGATATACTACGGATTGAGAATGATATAGGGTACAATATTGGTTTGGTTTAATTGTCGTGTGGTCGGATTTTGAATTCAAATATCTTGATTCCAATATTCTAATATGCGGTGACTTCCTCATCTTCTCGTTTCTTTCTTCGGTTGAGCGTACACCGATAAAAATAAAAAGGCAAAAGATTGTTTGACCCCATCAAAGCATTAGGAATCAGGTTGGATAGAAATAGATTCAAATTGACAATCCCACTATTTTTCATGTTCTTTAGCATATCACCAAACACAAAGGAACAGCCCATTCCTCATTTTCTTTTCAACGTGAACAAAGATGCATATTGCATATCACCAAACACAAGAGACATAGCCCATGTAATTAGTCCATTCATTAGTTTTTCAACAAACTAAATTTTATATATAATTTTATGGATCTCTGACTCGCGAGTTTTCGAGTGTGAGTATGTGAGAGAGTTCGTCGTTCTTTAACTTATTCTCAGTCATCACTAACATTTAATTAGATTATCAGAACCCATTCTTTTTTAATATAGTACCCGCGCCGAGTTACCAAAAAATAAAGTCTTCCACAACAACATATATATCTAAATTATTTTCGTTAATCATATCCGTGCCTAGCCTGCCTTGCATACTGGCCGGCCGGTGTGTGACCGACTCTCAACACAAACAAAGTAAATTAAACAAATGGAAGAGTAAACTATAATCATGTAATACTACTTCTCGTCATCAGTCTCCACCTAAACCCCTAACCTTAGTATAAATATACGAGCCAAACAACCCATTCATCATACCAATTTCATCGATCAGCAGAAAAATGGCGCCGGAGTGCGATTTCAACAACTTCTTCGCGACGGGGAGCTGCGAGGGGCAGAAGGTGGTGGACGGAGAGACGATGCCGCTGGTGCTGGAGCCGGCCGACCCGGCGAAGAACGACGTCGTATCCCTGGCGGCGGCCCTGAGGGAGGACAAGGAGTGGTTCGACGGCCTCATCACCAAGCACAGCGCCGTCCTCCTGCGCGGGTTCGACGTGGGGAACGCGGTGAGCTTCAACGACGTCGTGGAGGCCTTCGAGTGGGCCGACATCCGGTACGTTGGGCCTGCTCCACGGACCCACGTCCACAAGCGGGTCTGGACCGCCAACGAGGGCCCGCTCTCCGACTTCATCTACTTCCACCACGAGATGGTCCTGGTAAATTAAATTACTAACTAATTATGGCGTTTAGTTAGTGTTCAGAGATAAATAATCTTCTTTCAATAATTTGCGTAGTTAAGTTAATACGGGGGAAGAAAAAAAATTTGACTGCCGCCATGGGATGGTATTGGTTTGTGTCTCGTCGGCGAGCGAGTGTCGAGATATATATGTTTTTAGCTAGACCATAAATCGCTCCATTCGGCAGTGGAGAAGAGGACTCCGGCGTACGTCATGTAATGGATGTATTTAGGGTTAGTCATTCGATTTTCGGTTAGCGATTAACCGACGGTTATAATCGAAAAATCGTCGGTTAACGGCTAACAGAAAACCGACGGATGAGGGGGGCATCGGTCGGTGGTTGGCAGGAAATTTGGGGTTTTCGGTTAACCGTGTAACCAAAAGCGGTTAATCGACCACTACCAAAAATTCATTAATCTGCCTTCCCTCTCCCCAAGTCAAAACGAAAAATTGTCCCCCAATCTTATTCTCAAACCCTAAAAATTTGGGGTGGTCGCTTGTTGGATTTGAGACGTTAATTTGGGTGATTTAGATGCGGTTTTTATGCTTCAATTTAGGTGATTTCTCATGTTTTATAAGCAAGTCAGGTTGCTAATCGGTTCGGTTACCATTCGATTATCAGTGTTAACCGATAAAAAATTGATTGCAATTTCATTTTTTGTAACTGTGTGCGCCAGAAAACCGCGGTTATAACTGATAACTGACTGGTTGGTTACGCGGTGGACTGTGTGCGCCACGTCGGTCGATGTTCGGTAGTTATTAAAGGGTCGCTCATCTAACCTAAAATCGGCCCTTCGACTTTCGGTTAAACCAAAACCGACCGAAATCCAGCCCTAGATGTACCCTTAACCTTAAGAACCAAACACAAAACGACAATATTAATGTTTTATAATTAATTATATGCTGATGTGGTGGTGGTGGTAACTGTAGATGAAGGAGTTCCCGAAGAAAGTGGTACTGTTCTGTGAGGTTCCGCCGCCGGAAGGCGGGGAGACGCCATTTGTGCCGAGCTTCAAAGTGACGGAGAAGATGGTGGAGGAGTTTCCGGCGGAAGTGGAGGAGATAGAGAAGAGAGGGCTGAAATACACGTTCTGTGCCCCAGGCAGAAACAATTCTACCTCCATGAGAGGCCGTGGCTGGGAGGATGCTTTCGCCACTGCCGACAAGCAGCTGGCTCAAATAAGGTGATTTGCATATATATTAACACTACAATAAATATATATATTACATATTTACATATTGTATACGATCCATTTTTATTTTATACACACATATGTATATATATGTAATATGTGTCAGCGTCATGACTAAATCTAACTTGACCTCCAACAAATTTATAAGGCCACAATCTGCTAAAGTCAATCCACATGTCATTCTCAATTATATGAAGAACATGTGACCTAAGAGATTACGATCAATCTTGGTTGGCGTCATCTATAATAAATTGTGTTTTTTTTTTCCAACTATTTTCTTAACTCGGTTGATTTTCTTCATTTTTATTTTTAAGTTCTCTTTTGACATTTCCTTCGTCCTGAAAGCAAAGGGTCTCCTACAAACCACTAATCACAAATGGTCTCTAAACATGTTTTAATGAGAAGAACATGTTCAAATCAGTGATACTTTTACTTGTTTTAGAATAAATAATAACACGAGCTTCTCTGAATATTCAAAAATTCAAATTTGAGGCGAGTTTTCACAACAGATTTACTTCTCCTTTCTGGGTGTTGAACTATATGGGTTGATTCTCTCAATTTAGTACTAAATGGGGATATATCCCACCCTTGATTAACATGTTTAGAGCCAGGGCTCTGGGGATGGAAATCGAGTGGCTTGAAGATGGAGGCGCGAAGACAATACTGGGGCCAAGACCTCTGACGAGGGTGTTTGAAGGGAGAAAAGAGAGGAGGATGTGGTTCAACACTATCGTGGGAATGCATGGGAAGGAGCAGAGCTCGGCAACAATGGAGGACGGGACGGAGTTGCCACTGAAGTTCGTGAAGAGGTGTGAGGAGATCATAGAGGAAGAGAGCATCCAGTTCAAATGGCAGAAGGGAGATGTTGCCTTCTTCGATAACTGGGCTTTGCTCCATGGCAGGAGGCCTTCTCTGCCTCCGAGGAAAGTGCTTGTCGCCACTTGCAAGTGATAAATGATCTCTTAAATATTACGGACCCCTGAGATGATATGCGTGTATGTATGTCAGGGATTTCATGGTGTAGCTTATATATTTTATTTTACTTTTATAAAGATGAAAAGATATAGTTGAATTAAGGAAGTTGGAGGGTAAAAGGTGAGTCATATATATGAACTCAGATTATCGAAGATTGCAGTCGTTGTAGCCGATTTGAGATATATGGTAAGACCGTAAAAGATAGATATATGTTCAAAACTATCCATGGCTCCTTTTTCTCTCTTCCGTTTTTTTTAAGTGTGCATGATTTTACTTCCAAGAATGATAAAACACGGTTTTGGAGCCGCTATACAATGTGTTCGGTTAAGGTACATTTGTCCAAACTCATCATATATTGTTAGTCCTTGAAGGCCGCAACCAAAATTTTGGCTCCTTTGTCGGGAACTTCTTTGTTATCACGAAAGAATTTCAAGCTACTCCTTTAGGTATTTACTTTCTTGTTAATTTGCTTAACTTAATACTTTACTATGTTTGTTTATATCCAACCTTTGACTTAGACAACTCATTTGATTAATATGCCAATAACAGATAGTGATAGTAGTCAATTGAATCTGATTTCGTGTCACGAATTTCAATAATCTCGATTGTTAGACATAATAGAGGTATTTTTTATGGAGTTTCACAATTTAAGAAAACTCCAGATTTTACCCTTCTCAACTGTAAAGTCAAGCTCTGTGATACATACATTAGCTACCATTTCCAGCAATTGGGAAAAACCCTAACCCTACATGTATACCCTCCCATTCTGAAAGAAAATCAACTCCCAAGCCCCAAGTCCCAACCAGAACTAAGTTACAACGGCAATTCCCTAATCCATAGTGCCCAAGGATTCTCTCTCTTCTTAAAATTGCAAGTCAAGCCCTGCTCAGTCTACTGCTCTACATAGTTTCCTCTACTGGTTAATGTGACGGAGCACAATAATGACTGGGAGGAGAGATAGTGAACCAACAATAAAATAAAGAACATAAACACACAACACAACCATAAAAGTTAGAATACCATAATCATTCTGAAACATCTCTTAAAACAATTCGGCAAAAGAAGGTACAACATCACATAAGCTATTGCTAACCCACTTCCACTGATAAAATTACCACCATGTCAGATGTACAGAAGCAACACCTTAACTAGAAACTGAACCAAATGTCATGACTCATGCGGCCGCCATTTGTAGCTGAAGTGCTATGCATCTTCTTCACCAGCCCTTCCATTACAACTGACTCAAAAGGCAGCTAAAGCTCGAACAAACATGCTTACAGAAAATTAAAAATCACTTAGAAAGCAAGCAGACTCCCTTCCTCGCTAGGCTCTACCCAACCACCATTAAACAGGAGTAGGAAAGCAATGAAGGAATTGGAAGGAGAGAGTAAGAAGAAATCAAGCCAGATAAAGGAAACCCACAAATCATCATCCCCTGACCTTATTTCTCTGGCAAACTGAAATAGAAAAAAGAACCACCAACGACGACCTAGCAGAGCACCCTCTAAACAACCAGTTTTGCTCCGCGGCTTCACCGCAAAAAAGTTGGGCTCTAGCCTCAACCCCTTTGCTAGATTTGACTAAGTAACAAACAGACACTTAAGAAGAAGCACGGTTGGGCATGCCTCCCCTCCCACGACCCCTTGCGACATATCCACCACCTCCGTAGCCACCACCACCTCCGTAGCCACCACCTCCTCCGTAGCCACCACCTCCATATCCATATCCACCCCTTCCGTAGTAAGAACCACGAGATCTTCCACGTGGTCCACGACCACCACGGCCTCGATATCTTGGAAAGTCCCCGAAAGTCTACAACCGTTCATAAAAGGGAAAAGGGAATCAACAAGATGCATGAAAAGGCATGCCAGCAATAACCAGGTGACAACCAATTACCTCAGTGTCGATCTTCATTTGCTCAGAGAATTTAGGCCTTCCATTTTGTGAATTGTGGTCGAGTGTATGGCAGGAAAGGGTATCAAAAAAGTCATCCTTGTTGTACACAGGCTACAGAGAGAAAAAACCAAAATTTAGAAAAATGTTGCCTCTAGAAATCCATTGTAAACCGTTTTTCAAAAAGTTGACCACTACTATCTTGTATATAATGCAGCAAACAAAAGGTGAGATATAGAACCAATATTCCACCACCTTTTGATCAGCCTTTCCGGCATCATCATCCTCTTCAAAATCCTCTTCATCGCTCACTCCGCCATCTTCTTTGTCTTTAGCCTTGTTCTTCCCCAGGTGACCCCAGACTTCGTCCTTGTTGAATTTCTCATTCATTGCCATAAAATCAAAATCCTCAGTAAATTTTGTCATAGGACGTGAACCCTGCATGAGCATTTCATTTGCATTTGTTAACACAATATTCAAAAGCACTCCAAAAACTAGGCCAGTGGAAGTAGAACAGCTAAGCAAGAACTCATTCAGAATTTGCGACAACAGAGGTTGGGAGTGCCTGAAAAAAGCTCTACTCAAGGTAAGAATATGGCAATGCTCGTTTGATGAAGGGACTATTGCAGCCAATCAGAGAAAAATAAATTGGATGCCTCTCCAAGCAATGAAGCTGAAACCTTGGATCAGAGCAGATTTACAAAAAGCTAATAACGCCAACATAAGTACATATGAACGCAGGTATGATCGAGACATTACCCCAGTTCCTCTTCCTCTATCCCGTCCACGAAATCCATGATTATTGCGAGCATAGAATGGAGCTCCATTTGGCTGGCAACAATTGGGGAGGAAACATAAACAAATGTCAAGCATATATTCAGAAAAAAGTAAATCGTAAAGCTCATATAGTAGGCATACTAGATCATTCGGCCAACTATAGTATTCGTAGGCCCCACAAAGCATCCACAGAATTGTAAGGAATGAAGTTCGAGTAACAACATATCTCCATTGCCAGAACCCAAACAAACAGATATGAACTTATCCTTATTCCATCCCAGTGAAAACCATAAGTCTAAGAGAAACTTGGTCAAATGAAACCAATAGACAATACACCTATCACCCAACAGCTAAAATGGTCTACAGCAAAAAGAATTGGTTACATGACTTGACATTACACTCCAAAAGAAGACAAGACACAAGCAATGAAGAACATCAAAACACTTATAATTTATATATACAGAGTACTGACAGGATATCCTGCAATATCTTACTAAGAATTCGTTTCTAAGTGCAACTATGGACATATTTGGATATAGAAGTTACACCTTAAGGCACAATCCAAAAATATGAAGGCAGCGGGAGATAAGTCAAAAGATGCGCAACAGATCTCATGCAAGTATTAAACTGGGAGTGATTTCTGAATGTAAATATGGATCAATTGTAGGCATGCAGAAGGTGTACCTTATGGCCAGTCCGGGAAGTTACGGGCAATGGTAGGATTGGAGGTTGAGCTTCAGTAGCAATGGGAAGAGGAGATTCTGATGAAGACGTCGCTGATGCTTGAATAACCTCCACATTCTTAAGGGATGTTTGCACATGCTGGGATGACGGAACAGTAGTTGCTCCAGATTGCAACAACTGGCCAGGGGTTACCAGTGAAGGGGTTGGAGCTTCTGTGCGCAAAGAGCTAGATGCTACAGCAGCCGATGATGTTGGCTGTACAGTGCTTTGATAAGGAATTGCTGGAGCAGCAACAGAGTTAGCCTTGCTGGAAGTTGGTAACAAAATGGGATTCAATTCTGGGCTTGATGTTGACGGTGGTGTTAGAGAGGGTAAGTTGGGACTTAAACTGGAAGCAGGAAGAACTGAATTTGCAGCCCGACCAGGTGCCAAGCCATGCAAAGTTTCAGAAGGTAGGGTGGCAGAGGGCACCGAAGAGAGGGTTGAGGCTAGTGAGACAGGGTTGAGAGAGGTGCTAGTAGGCAGCAGAGGTGGAATATCAGGGATGGTGGTTGACAAGTTTGAAGCTCCCAAACTTGAAGATGGTGGCATGTTCGAGGGTTGCAAGTTTGAAAGTGGAAAGTTGGAGGCTTGCAAGTTTGAAGATGGAAAGTTTGAGGCTTGCAAGTTTGAAGGTGGCAAGTTCGAGGTTTGCAAGTTGGAAGGTGGCAGGTTCTGAGTGGGCAAATTCGAAACAGGCAAGTTTGAGGGTCCCGTTGGTAAGGGGCCATTAAAGTTGGGATATTGCATCTGCTGCTGCTGCATGGATGAACCCATTGCTAACCCTGGTGGTGGTCGAAGCAAAGACTGCTGGTGAAGCTGTGGTGGAAGCCCATTTGGAGGACCATAATACCCTTGCCAGTACATTGGCATAGCAAGACCAGCTCCATTTGCGTTTGGTGGAGGTGAAGCCCCCCATGTTCCTAATGCCCCTGCAGGCTGATACAATGGCAAACCACTTTGATAATTTGGTGCAGACATTCCCATTTGTGCATGGTGGGATCCAGGATCAGTCAGAGGTCCAGTAACAGCTGAAGGCAAGCTAGAAGAAGTTGAAACTGGTCGAGGATAGTGAGACTGCATGAAAGATCCTGGTTAATTAGCAAGGGTAACAGACTATCATTACATGCATATAAGTGCAACCACATTTGATCCCCCAGTTTTTACCTGTATTATAGCTGGATCATTGTTTATAGGTGCTGTAGGCTGCACAGGAGGTGATGACTTAACCTGCAAGTCCTGCAGCAGAAGTGACAAAAAAAAATCAATTTCACTGTGTATCTGTGCTTGCGTGTACATATGCATGAAGTACAAATGTACAATGCAAGATAGAACGATTAGGTCACTAATTTGTGAAGACGCAACAAAAGAGAGTTTCAACTGATTAGCAACTCAACAATAGCTGGCACCTTAATCCTATACAAATACAAATGTAATTACTGTCTGATTAAACTGACAAGAACACCCACCAGCAAGACAAACATATACGCTCACACTGTTCACATATACGACAATTAGGCATGACAGGTGGTGTAAACAGCAAACGAATCAGAGGACACTTAACTGATATATGTCCAATGCAGTCAAAATCGCGCTTTAAAGATTAAGCTTTTACGCTTCTAGGTCACCAAAATGTTTCTATGTAGAATCACGATTCTCTTTTACAAGTGTAGTCAAAATCTAAGCATTCAAGCTTAAAAGCTTAAAGTTTAGCGCTTCTAAGTCACCAAAACGCTTCAACTTAAAATTTCGCTTTTGACTGCATTGCAACCTTAACCAGGAAATATATATATATTCCAGACATCAACAACATGACAATGGCAATTAAGGATCCCCATCCTTTAGAAGGAAGCTATCGGTTGCACCGGTATGCTTCCCTCTAATTTTACATCAATAACTTCACAATAATCAATTTATCGAGAGCTTCTTTCTGTAACCCATCATTTCCAAATATTACAATAAGTTACTTTGTCAGACCGAGACTTTACAGGTAACAAAGGAACAATGCTCTCTATTAAGCTAGAGGGAATCCAGAGCCTCATCATTACAAGTTGTATAATCTATGTAATACCTTGATGTCAGTTCCTCGGAACAGTATGTACTCATATACTTTGTCACTGGGAGGAATTTGGGGCCCATCCTTTTTCCGCCCTTCAGTTCCGAATGACCGTACTGTAGGGAGAAAGAAAGCATGAATGAGACGACGTGCATATGCAGATTATACATCAGAAGCAGACCAAGGTAAGTTTACCAACTTCCTACGTGAAAAATCTACCCTCAAGCAAGAAAACCAGAAAATCAGATAGAACATCGCCTAACAGCTAAATGTGCAAGAAACCGAAGCATTCACTAACTCGTTGAAATCTCTAATATAAGCAGTACGAATCTAGAAACCGACATTTTCAATTAATATTTTCTGACCCTTGAGCTGCAACGAAGAAGGAACATCTTGGCCGATGCAGTCAAAATGAACTCAAATCCGAGCAAAATCACTGGGAAACAAAGCGATTCGACGAAAAAATAAAAACTCAAATCTTGGCTAAAAGAAGCGGTTACCGTTTTTCAATCCAATACTTGACTCCTCAGTGTTGATGTTGTAAAGAACGCCTTCGTATCTGATCTCACTCTTGGAAGTCAAGCTTATCAAGCTCCCTATGTAGGAATCCGCAGCCGAATTCGATCTGGAAGTCGAAGCCGAATTGGCACTATTCTCCGTCGCCATGAGATAAGATATATATGTACCTGTATATATCTCAAAATTGGAATCCGAACCGCTAACAAAGCCGCAATCGCATGAACCGTCTGATCCCGTCGGTCGCCGGAGAGAGATTCTTTGAAGAAACCCCAAACTCGAAATACAAACTCGGCGATTGACAGAGAGAACTAGGGTTTAGGTTATCTGAATTTTTCTTGCTTTTCCCTCTGTGTTTGTTTCTGATTATAACCTGGGGAGAGAGAAGAAGAAGACCGCTAATAATTATTGTTATAATTATTTATTTTTTCTTTCTTTTAGTATCAGTGGGCTCGGATTGAGGCCCAACGCAAAGCTGCCACGTGGGGATTTTGGGGGTAAATCCGTCTTAACGGTCCAAACAGCAGCGGGTTCAGAGAGAAATGAGAAACTGTATGTAGAAGAGGAGGATGCTATGCTATTTGGAGAGGAACATTGGGCAGCGGCTTCCTGCTCCTTCCTCGCATCGCATGTTCGGATCCGAATTGGGATTTGACATGTGGAAGATATTATTGTTTAGACCTAGTGGCTAGTGGTAGGCTCATGGAAGGGACATCTGCCATTTTGGTTTTGGACTCTTTTGGATCACGGGCCTGGGCCCTTGCAACCATATCATGGACCGACCACTTTTTTTTATAGATTAATTAGTTTAAAAAATTATTGAGAAAAAAAAAAACAGATGTGTGGGTAGTTTCACCTTTCTAGTTGTCGTTGTCTCTTCGATGCAATAATCTCAGCACTCATGATCATCCCACTATCAGTGTGCTTCAAGTTAATCGTGGGTATCTTCACACTTATTTTTCACGCTTCTTCAGCAACAGTTATCGTCTGCGATTACTAATTTATAACCTTTAGGGAATCGCAATTTTTGGTGGTTGTTGCAGGTTTCATCTTCTTCTTTATGTTCTTACTCGGCTTCTCTTTCTTCCGCACTCATCTGGTTCATCAATTCGTTGTTCAGGCGATCTATTCATGAGGTAGTCGTCAGAATGGATAACTTGGACGTGGATCAGGGTTGCTTTCGATGATAAAGACATTGACATTGGTCTTATTCAGGCGAAACTTTGTTTGGTTGGACAACATTTCTCCCCCTCATCCATCGACTAGAGCTGTCATGGATCGTGTGGCTAGCTGAATGCGGGGCATCACATTCCCTATTGTTGTTCAGGAGACTCAAAGGGGTTTGTGGTTATTCATCATTGCAGATGCAGCGATGAGATTTAGAGTTCTTTGTCGTTCTCCTTGGACGGTTAATGATTTTGTGCTTCATGTGAAGGAGTGGCAATCGATCACATGCTCACTGATGCAAGAATTGGCTCGTGTACACTTTGTCATTTACATGATGTAGATTTCGCCATAGTTCAGTACCACCAATTTAGGAAGACAGTTGGCGAATCATTTGACATAGTGGTGCCTGACAGGGAGATTTGATTATATGTATACTTGGGTAGCTCTTATGTGTTCATTAAGGTACGTGTTTGTATTGATGTTGAGGCTCCACTCCGCTCTCATCTGCATACACATCATGCTCTTAGAAATGGCTTTTGAGTTCATATGAATTCTGAGTATGTCGCATAATAAGGGGAGAACATCTTGACAGTGGTTTAAGTTATAAACCCCACCCAATCACAAGGCTCTTAATTTGGTCGGAAAAACTCGGCTTACCTTGGACTCTCGGTACCTTATGATGAAGTCAAAGCTTCAATCGTAAGAAGTCGAGGTTGGTTGAGAATGAGTTGATTTTCGTCAACGCGCGAGAAGTTAAAGGTTTCCCAATCAACACGAGGAAAGCTCTATGGAGAAGAAGTTTCGCTTACGAGAGCTCTTAAATATGTAGACCTATGGTGATAGAAACCAACTATCATTCGGTTTCTATAATTATTATTATATTAGGGTAATTAGTCTTTTAGTCGTATTAGGTTAATTGTTAGGTTTTTTGGTTCTCTTCCTATATATATGTACATTGTTATTCGTCGATTCAATCAATGACAATAAGAAGAAGAATAAGAAAACTCTCATAAACCCTAATCCCTCAATTCTTGATCTTAATCCCTTAAAAGGTCTAGGCCGATTCTCTATCTTCTTCCCCAAATTCTCTTCTAAATCCCTAAATCTCCATCAATTCACAATTTCACAACTCAAACGATTGAACCCTACAAATAGGTTTCTTTCATCTGGTATCAGAGCTCGTTGCGCACCTTTCCGCTACATCACAATCCACCCCGCACTACCCTACGCCACTCACAAGATCAAACTCCCAAACATAGATAGAACACAACAATCCCACGTCTCACCAGCCAAGCAGATCGAGTTGCCCCCACCACCACCAATGGCAGATAAGGAGACACCAAATGTTGCCTTCCCAGATGACTCCACAACGCCGCTAGCCAAAGTTATGACACCATGGATTTTCGGGAAACCCCTCGGTATCGGCTTTCCATTAGTCAACTGTCTCTTTGGGAATCATACCAATCCTGACATCGGCAACTACATCGACGATCAAGGAAGCAACGACTCCTATATTATGCCGGAAAGGAAGTTTGCAGGCAACTGTTTTTCAGTCGTCTTCAACGCAAGGCATCGAGATGTAGGGGGTTCGAAGCTCGTGAACTACAAGGTGCATAATTTCGGATCGATCAATTATGGGCCACTTCAGAGGAACCAGTATGGTTTGATTGATTATGGCTCGAGCCTTTTGAGCAAATGTACCCAACCAAACCAACAATTGTTCGATCCAATTAGGCTTGGCAACGGGGCGGATCGGGGCCGGGGCAGGCCCATCCGTCACCCGCCTGAAAGACTAGCGGGCTTTTTTTAGGCCCACCCCCGAAACCAACGGGTAACGGGTTAGAACCCGTTATAGCGGGTTTGCCCGACACAACTTAAATCTGCTGAATCCAACAAAAAAGAAGAGACATTATAGTCAAATTGAAACTGAAAAACTGCATAAATTGCAGATGAAATCAATCAACTTGCAAAATCCAGCAACCAGACATCAATAATTCATCATCCAAACAAAAGAAAACATGTTCGAAATTGGATTCCAACATCCATAAAGGCATATAGCCATAAACCAAACGAAAAAAAAACAAGTTCCAAATTGAACCAAACAACAAAAAAGAGCAGCAGTAGTTCTCTTCACCCTTCAGTCTTATCGAGCAGCACCATCATCAAGCAATCAGTCAGCAAACAAAATCCAGCAGCCCAGCACAACAATCACCAGCAGCACACTTCATTCTTCAATCATCAATGTCCAAGAGTGTACGACTATGACTACCTTGAAAATCTGTGGCAATTTAAGGTACCTGTTAACTACTAACTGAAGATAATTGTTCATAATAATAAAACAGAGCACAACTACCTTCTTTCTTAAACTCTTCACAACTTGGATCCTCCATTGTCATCGTAGAGAAGCAAGTCTCCAAACCTTGAATGTCAGCCTTTCCAGCATCTGCATATTCAAGCAGAGTATAGTTAACAAAACTTTCGAATATTTGAAATTAAAACAGACCGGGAAATAACAAAAATAAGAGCTCTTACCTTTGTAAATGTCACTCTGAATCCAGCTACGGGTGCACATGAGTGCCTCGACAGTTTCAAAGTGCAGCCTACTTCGGTGAGGATCTAGCAGCCTACTACCAGAGCTGAAGGCTGACTCAGAGGCCATAGAGGTCACTGGTACAGCAAGCAAATCTCTTGCTACCTCTTGCAAAAGTGGGTATTTTCGAGCATTCACCCTCCACCAATCCAAAACCCCAACATTTGAACTTCGAGGACTAACATCCTCCAAGAGATAATGATCCAATTCAGAGCATAGTGAAACTGTTTTGGACCTTTTCCTTCGACTTAAATAAAGCTCGAAGTCAAGGTCATCAGAATTGGCCTTAACACCATTAACAGAACCAGAGGAGGCAGAATGGTCATCTCTGCCCTTTTGTTTCAACTGATACTCACGGACAACATCATAAACAGTGGCCTTAACAGTCACAGGATCAAGAGTATGATCAGAGCCATTGCTCTTATCATAATAGTAATGAATCAGCTCAAGTTTGTATGCAGGATCAAGAACAACAACGACAGTGAGCAATACATGGATATCAGTCCAGTATTTGCTAAACTTGGCCCACATTTTTTTGGCCATTTCACAAATGATGCTATCAGGATCAGTCATCCACTCAAGCAGATTCAATTTCAAGTCACAGATCCTTCGAAAGAATATATTAGCAGTAGGATAATTGCTTCCAGAAAGAAGCTCAGAAATATTTCTGAAAATCTCAAGCTTTTTGCTAATAACAGTAGCAAACATCCAATCATCACTGCTAGGCAAGGAAGTATAGTTAGGTTCTCTCTACTTCAAACGAGTGAACACTTCCTTGTATGGAATTGCATATTCAAGCATATGCAAGGAGGAATTCCACCTAGTAGGGCAGTCAAGTGCAAGTTTCTTTCCAATACAAACATTCTTTTGCCTAGCCGTCTCTTCAAAGAACTCAAGTCTCCTAGGAGTTGCAGTCCAATACACCACACTTTCCCTTATCTTTTCAATCCCATATTTTATAATTTCAAGCCCATCTTTAACAATTAAGTTAAGAATGTGAGCCGAACATCTCATTTACAGGAAGGAACCATTCAATAGAAAGTCAGACATAACCATCTTCCTTTTAATCTTTTCAATCATGGCATCATTTGTAGAACAGTTGTCAAGAGTTATAGTGGATAACTTACAGTTCACATTCCATGACATTAGGGCCTCTCGGAGCACACTTGCAAGTTTCTCACTAGTATGGGGGACAGGAACATAGAGAAATCTGTCATACACTCACAAAAACATCAAATGAAGCTCGAAGTCAGTTTCTGTTAAGTATTAAACAAATAAACATCAAAGAAAGAACAAATTGAATAAGCAATTTACCTTAACAAGTGGCTCCTAAGGTTCCAATTGTTGTCAACATAATGAGAGGTTACAGCCATGTAAGCCCTCTTCTGATTACTTGCTGTCCACATGTCAGTTGTGACAGCAATTCTACCTTTGATACCATCAATCATTTTTTGAATCTTTTTCCTCTCAATCGCATACAAGGCAAGAATATCACTCTTGCAAGTGTTTCTACAGGGAACTTTGAACAAGGGCTGCAGAGAATTGTAATTTTTTTTGAAATACAAGTGATCCACCATACCAAGTGGATACTCGTGCATCAAAATCATAGTGGCAAGTTCCCTCCTTGAAACCTCTACATTGAACTGACCAGTACATAGTTCTTTCTTTCCAATCAAACCATTAGGGAGGAAATTAGTGGCAATGTTTTTCTGATTACCATC